TCTCAAATAAATAAATAAAATCTTTAAAAAAAAAAAAAAAAGGAGGGGAGGGGGGTCCTTACCGCCGCCAGGGAGGAGGAGCAGGCAATGTCCTTCGGATCTGAAACACCAAACGGGAACAGCGGTGAACCCAGGGCTGGGCATTTCCACCACCCACGAAATCACACCAGAACAAGACACCACCTGATACCTGACCAACGAGCAAGAGCTGAAGACGACGACAACGGGCACGGCCGCACCCCGCCACGCGCGCCCCACACCCCTGTCCGTCAGGCCCCGTGACACACGCAGGTGGAGGGGGGAGCCCCGGCAAAGGCAAGCCGTCGCACGTGTGAAAACGGCTCTGCACCTCGGGAAAGACTTCACACGGGACAAGTGCAGATGAGCACAGCGTGTGCATACTACGGTGACGAGCCGTGGAAGACACACTGATGGGCAAGGATCAGGAGGAACCGTGAAGACGTGAGTAGCGGGAGACCCGTAACATTTGTGGTGGGTTGTTCCACATTACGGAATTAATTACAAATACAAATTAGTGGGGACAAAACATCTACTCTTGATAAAGAACAAGAGGCCTTTTTATCTAAACGCAAAGAAGGAAGGACACGTGCGAAGTCACAGAACCGACAGCCAGACCTACGGCCACGAGGAGCCAGGGGGAGCAGACCCCCTTCTTCAGAATCCAGGTGGCGGCCTCAAACAGCTCTGCCCCGCCCCCCGCCCCCCGCATCTGGGTCTTTTTGTAACTTTGGGTAGAAGAGCTTCGCGGGCACACCAACAGCCCGGCTGGAGCCCGGCTGGAGCCTGGCTGTGGCCCAAGTGAGGAGGAGGAGCCGGGGGGTTCTCTCTGCTCACACACTGCTGCGCGGGGGCCCGGGGGCCCAGCATGAGGGGAAGTCAGAAGGCTACAGAAATGCCTATCATGAGGCCAGCTCGTGGCGCTGCATCCAGAGCAAAGTCACCGCGGAGCAGAGGGGAGCCGTGTGCAGGGCTGCCCGTCCCAACCGCGGCTGCAGGGAGATGGGGGGTGCATGGTGGGGTAAGGGCACTCCCCCAGATAAGCCACATCTGAGCAGACAGGCCTATGTGGGGGTCAGGGGCTGTACTGCGGTGAGGAGGTCCCCCTGCTGAGAGGTACAGTCTGGTCTGCACGCCAGAGCGATGGGGGCCGCGAGCCCCGTTGACCTCCTCACGGCTCCTGCTGGGGGGCCTCATCAGGGGCAGGAAAGAGAAGGGTCTGGAACACCGCGGTGCATCCACCTCTTCTCGCACAGATGCTCAGGCCTGCAGGGAAAGGAGGGTGGGAGGGCAGGCGAGGAGGAGTGGGGGCTGCGGACGCACAGCGAGGGAGTGAAGAGGGGCTGCGGTTAGGGCCAGCGCATGTCCCACGAGCAGTGGCCAGTCGTGCATTTAGTCGGCAGGGAGAGGCTCCCATAGTGGAATGATGGCAGCTGAGAAGACACGGAAATGTGGTATTTCTCAGATGCTTTTTAAGTAAAGAGTTCCCACTGTCCCAGAGAATAACGTTCAACCCCCTGGGTTCTAAGGAACCCAGGTTTGAAAAACAGACTTCAGAAGAACCTACACTCTCCACTGCAAGAAAATGTCTTTCAAACGCATATTGTCTCTATGAGAAAAGGCAGTGTTTATCATATACAAAGTTTGTTTTTTTAAATTATCATCTAAGTGAAAAAACATTTTTTTAATTGAATCCATAAGAACACATCCTAAGGACCTAAGGGTCCATGGCCAAAGTATGGGAACGTCTGGATGGGTGAGCAGGCACCTGGTTACACCCCAACTTCACCACTTACTGTGTGACCTTGGGCAGGTCACCTACGGCCCCTGAGCCTCAAGACCTTCCCCTGGAAATCCGTGAAATAATATCTGCACTGAGCCTGGCATCGTGCCTGGGACACAGGGAGCACCTGCTACACGGTGGCCGCCTCTCCCCTGAGAATGTTCTCCTGATGATGGGGAAGAAGGGCCACAGGGCACATGTTCACAGATTACTAGGAGAGTCTGAAAGATGTCTTAACTCCAGTGCAAGTAACAAAGTAAACCTCGGATTTTAATACAAGAGGGTAGATGCCAACACCAGTGGGAGCTCACAGTGAAGATGGGGCCCAGAAGGAGGACATCTGGTGGGAAGGCAGAGAAATGCCAGGGCCAGGTGTCCACGAGCCCCCACCCCCCCGTGCCAGTAGCAGCAAGCCTCCTGGGACGGCCTCGCAGGCCCGGTCCCCTGGCCTCGAGGCTTAGTGGGCCTGGGGAAGCTGAGGGCTTGTGCTTCTGTCCTCCAGCAGGCCAGGGCGGAGAGAAGCAGCGCTCCAGGGGCACTGCAGGAACAGGACGGGGCCACAGGCAACCCCTGGATGGAGCGGGAGGCCCCAACAAGTGGGGGGACGGCGGCTCCAGGAGAGCCCCGTGGGGACCCCCTCCGCCCTGTCCCACACCCTCGGAAGCCACAGGAGGAGGCTTGGTGGGAAGGAGGCTCTCATTTTATTACAAAAGACAAACCACAGCTTCCTTGTTCTTAGGAGCCCTGCCCTGAGCAGAGGACGAGGCCCCACCCGGGAGAACCGGGCTGAACAGGTACGAGTGCTAAGATCCGGGCCGGCCGGCAAACTCACATCTCCTGCCACACACCCCATTCCTCATCGCGTTTCCTCTTTCCCCCAGAACCAACCCTTCATCGGTTGAGGAAGAGAAGAAAAGGGACCGTGGACTCTAGACCTCGGGCCGGACACACCCGGGGGCCCCTGTGCACGAGCCAAGAGGACACGCACTGTTCTCCGGGTGACTAATGCGTAAGGAACAGGCTGGAGCGCCCCGTGACAGAGCTCCACGGGCTAGAGAGCCAGCCTGGAGAACAGGTGACACAGGGGACCTTTCCCAGAACTCTGACACTCACTCCACAGTTAAATGCCACAGGCTGGTGATGTTGGTAAGCGGGCTCAAATACCCCCACCTGTCTCACAGTTCACCTGCTGCGGCCGCGGGGAGACGCTCGCCCTCCCAGGGCACAGTGGCCGCCCCTCCCTGCTTGCAGCGGCCATCTGCCTGAGGCCTCAGCGGACCATGGCCCCTGTCCTCACCGACAGAGGCCGGCCCGGAGCCTCACACCTGTGTGGTTAGACAATAGTTCCTTTACAATGGAAAGGTTAGCGTTAGCCATGAGAAAAGGGAGAGCAGAAGCTGAGTAAAACACGCCTTAACGTCCTGGACGAAGCCGGCAGCTCGGGATGCAAAGCTGAAGCTGCACTTGACACCCAGCCCGGATGGCGTAGCGGAGCTCCTGCGCTTCCCGGCCTGAAGTTAACGGCAGGCAGCTGTCGGCTACCGTATGGTTTTATTTTGCTTTAAGCCAAGTCGAAGAGGCAAATGCCCAATACAGCTCCTCAGAAGAGCTTGGGGGAGGGCGCCTGGGTGGCTCAGTTGGTTAAGCGACTGCCCTCAGCTCAGGTCATGATCCTCGAGTCCCGGGATTGAGTCCCACATCAGGCTCCCTGCTTGGCAGGGAGTCTGCTTCTCCCTCTGACCCTCCCCCCTCTCGCGCTCTCTCATTCTCTCTCTCTCTCAAAAATAAATAAATAAAATCTTTAAAAAAAAAAAAAAAAGAAGAGCTTGGGGGATCAGACGCCCTGCCCCACAACAGCTAAAGCGACGCTGGCTTTTCTAACACTGGACTAATTGCAAGGAATCCTTGTCCTGCCAGATCTCTGTTTCGAAAATTAATTTCAAACCCAATTAAATCAGAAGTTTGGTACTGAGTCTAGACGGGAACAAAGAATTTGATTTTCTGGTAGAACCCTCTTCACCTGATTAGGATATATGGTCTTAAGTCATGCAGTGATTTCATAATATTGTCTCAGATAGATCTTATCAGAAGGCAAGTAAGCTGGTGAGAGACCCGTTTGTGGCAGCAAGACGGGTGAACAGGTGCAGCCACAGAGGTGAGTGATGTGGCGGGTCTCAGGTAGATATGACACTCCCAGCACAAGGCGAACCACGCACGCCCGATGCTGCAGGGGTGGGGGGGGGGCGGGCAGGGTGCGAGGAATTTCCACATCCATTACTCCAGAAATCAGGAGACAACAGAAAATCCTCCAAGAGCTGAAGAGACCGCTCACAGGAGAAGTCTACACCGAAGAGGGAAGTCTACCTGGCCAGGCGGAGAACCAGGGCCACCACGGGCCTGCGCTGGACTGACACAGCCCTTTCCCGTAACAGCTGGCCCTCCCAAGGCGTCCCCTCCAAGGCCAAGTGTACTTACGCTCGATGAGAAAGAGAAAGCACACTATCCCCATGGCTGCCACGATGACCCCAGGAACGATGAAGGACAGGCCCCAGCACGTGGACACCCAGTAGCCAGCAATCAAGGAGCCCAGAATGTTGCCCACAGACGTGTGGGAATTCCAGACTCCCATAATCAAACCTCGCCTGCAACACAACAGAACACAAGATGGCAAATGACGTTGAGGAGCTTCAGTGGGCCAGCAGGTGTGGGACAGACCCCAGGACGTGAGAGGTACCACGGAAATCAGTGGGAGTGTGGACGCCACTCCCGGGAGGTAGCGGGCTGGAGACGTGCATGAGAGAACAGTGTTCTTATCTTACCTCAGAGGAATAACTGCACACCTCTCTCAGAGCTTAGTGAGTCTACACTTAGAGAGAGGAAAAGAAGCCTTTCCCTGAACTTCTTGGATGGCCCCAGATTTAAATCTGTGCCTCCATAATCTAAACACAATCATTTGAGGAAATATCCCACTCACAGAGCCCACCAGATGAACAAAGCGGAGAATCTAAACAAGGCTTGCGGAGCTGGGCTCTCGTTCTGCTTTCCCTGTCTTGCTGAGTGGCTTCAGGCACTTCTAACCTTGGGTCTGGCCACACTGTGTGTCACACGGACATCACAATGGGATCTGGACTATGCTCCCGTCACCAGAGGCTGAGTGGGGCTCTGCCGCTGGGCGCTGGGTGACCTATTCAGGACTTGCCACACTTCCATGTGCCTTCGAGTCTTGGGAAGATGTAGCTTCTGCTTCAGAAGATGTGGGGCAGGGCCCTAAGCTCCGTGTTTCTCCCCGGCTTGCAGGTGACCAGCTGCTGGTCAGCTGCGTGAAATGACAGGCTTGACCCGCCCACAACGTGGTGGGGGCAGCAGAGGGGGCATCTCCCAGGAGGAAGGCCCACCTGAATTCAGCACCCCAAGTCCCAGAGGTTTCAATCACCTTCCCCCATAGAGTGGACTAGTAAAAGTGGCTTTTTCTGCAGTAAATGTAGAGAGTAACTAAAAAGAAGGTAGTGGTCTGGTGTTCATCAGGATCTGAAAAGGTAAATGCTGTTGGAAGTGGGGCCACCTTTGCTCACCTTCCTTTTCCAAACCAGTTGCCGAGGCAGGTGACGACGCTGGGCCAGCCGGTCGTCTGCACCAGTCCGTTGATGATCTGTGACAGACGGGATAGAGGGCTCACTGCCAGCCGGAAAGGGTGCGTGCACCCCGCCTTCAGGCCAGGCTCACCAAAGCTCATTCCTCCCTCTTCTTTTGCAAGTTTGGGGACACAGTGGGGACTCCCACAAAAAGAAGGCAGCAAAACACTCTTTGATGTGAGCCTCAACAGCCAAACATGTGTTTTAAACTACACACATGTGCGTGTGTGTGTAATCATAAGAGTGCGTACAGTGAAACTCATAGTCCACACGTTTCACTCCTTGTATCCTGACCCTCTGAAAGGGGCAGAAGCTGGACCCCGCGCTCGGGGAAAGCAATTCTCCACTTTTCGAGAGTACTCTGAGCTTAGGCTCTAAGGAGGGGCTCAGGAAGGGTGAGCAGGTTTGCTTTAGTCTCAGGAGTGCTGAGGGCAAGTTCACGACGAGATGGGAGACCAGGTCCAGCTGAGCGCCCCCTCCCACTGCCGCAGGGCTAGCCAGCCCTCCGGGAGTCAGGGGGGCTGTGGGTCTGGCCTCGGGGCCAGCCAGGCTTGCCCTCCCTCTAGGAATACGCTGGGACTCTGGGAAACTGTTCATTCCTTCCCTCTAATTTCCCCTTTTACTATAAAGTGTGAATCACTGTTGTAATTAAAACACCCAAGCTTTTTCAAGTCCTATGGCAACATTTTAAAAAGCAAATTACATACAAGCTGCTTTGATATTACAGCACCCCCCAGGCTATGTGGAGAGCCTCAGAGGCTGAGCAGCAGTACTGCAAGTCACTTTCCACCTGCAGTCAGTACCTACCCACGGGGCCGTGGGGAGCGGCGGAGCAAGGCTGCAGCAAGGACGGGGCCCCGCTGGACGGGCAGAGCCACACGGCCTGCCCTGGCCTCTACTCCCCTCGGAGCACCGTGAGGCTCTCTCCTTTCCTCCCCGCGGACCACCTGCAGCCCCGTCCTCCTGCCAGCAACTCCGGAGCCCTCCGTTCCTCCTACCCCTGCCACACCTCGCGTCCCTCCAACGTGAGGTCAAGGGCATCACAGGACACAACATCCCTAAGTCCTCCACACGAAGGTGGAAGGGCTCACAGGCTTCCTGCTTCCGTCCCCCTGCTGGGGTGCTGATGGGGGTGGGACTGAGGTTCTTTAAGAGACGACTCCTGGGACTGAGGAGGCCTCACAGCGGCTGCAAGGACGGAGCAAAGAGGAGGGGGCTTCCCACACCAGCGCCGACCCCGCTGGCAGAAAGAACACAGAGCGGCCCTAGCTCGAAGCTTTCTGTCGCGGCAGGGGTGGGGACTCGAGGCACAAACGTCCAGTCTGATTCGTCACGGACACCCCGGCCGTGCGCAGCCACGGACCCAGCCCTTACCTGAGTTACCACGTAGAATCCAAAACTGTGGATATTGTAGAAATACCCGAACCCGAAGAGGGCGGTAAAAGCGCCGCTGGCTAGCATCCCAAACGTGAGGTAATACCGAATGGGCAGGCGCTCCCCTATGATGCCGCTGAGGACAGAGGAAAAAGAAGCAAACACGAGAATGAGAAGACAGACACACCTATGATGTGGAGGGCCCGTGATCTTTCCGGATGTTTCCATGCTGTTCTCGGAGATTTCAGAACTCGAATGCACTACAGTTTTCAGGAAGATTTCATCACAACTGTCTCCAGCGCAGCGTTTTAACCAGAAACTGGCCATCGGCAACGTCTTTTAAGACTTTATTTCTAGTAAGAGCCACTGTCAAGTCCTAAACCTCAAACACTGTGACTTGCATATGACGGCTGCCAATTAAAACCACCAAAATCTCAGAATGCCTGGGGACTCGGTCGGGTAAGCATCTGACTCTTGGTTTTGGCTCAGGTTATGATCTCAGGGTCCTAAGATCGAGCCCTGTATCTGGCTCCGGGCTCAGCAGGGAGTCTGCTTGATCCCCACCCCCCCACCCCTCCGGTGCTCTCTCTCTGGAATGGATAAATAAAATCTTAAAAACGAAACAAAACAGCAAAAACTTGTTCCGCTAGTTAATCCTGCTTTTATATAAACAACGTCCAGTAAATGTGCACAGTATTTAAAAATGCTGATGTTCAGACTGTAGACATGTGTCATGAAAAGGGCTCACTTTTGGCCTCGGGAAGGCTCTCAGCCCGGAGCTGTGGGTCACCTGCGCTCACACACCAGGCCGGATGGGCTCTGCCATCAGCTGCCCTCCTCCCGCCACCACCGTGAACCAGTTTGAAGACAGATTTTCTTTACGTGAGGTCTGACACAGGGGGCTAGGGCCGCTGTGCTCCTTTCCCAGCAATGTCACTTGATAATGAGCTGGCCTCATGGGACAATTCCTTCCCAGAGCTGACTGGGTGCTCAAATGAGATTGAAGCGGGTGAAGGGCCTGGTCCACGGCTGTCTGCTCAATAAAGCACCTCATGCCACGGGAAGTAGATGCCTGACGGCCCGGGGAGAAATGCCACTGTAGAGCCACTTGTCATTGTCACGTATTAAGTGAACAAACCCCAGAATAATTACAAGGGATTGAAAACTATGGATCTTCTTTCCTTCCACGTAACCATTCCGGGAGTAAAATAAATAAGAAACGTAATGCCTGTGAGCAATACTTAGGGAACTGTCTCCAAAATTCTGCCCTTCATCTCAAGAACCAATACATCAGGAAACTTTTCCTTTTCAAGACCCCAAAGAGGGACGATCTACCTAGCACCATGCAAATGACTAAAGCAGAGGAAGTAATTTAAAATTAGGAACAACATTCAGGTCAAATTTTAAGTTGGGTAGAAACTGATCACCAACAAACTCAAGAGCATTCTAGAGCTAAACAAGTGATCTATTTCAACTTGCTGGCTTCAGAGAAGAGAAAACGTGTCCCAGAGGGGCCGGCTGACCTGCCTGATGTCACAGGACAGAGCTAGTGCGATCGGCCAGGGCTGGCAAATTTCTCAGTCTTGCTATACAATATTGGGCCCAAATTTAGTCTCTACTCCAAAGTTTTTAAAGAAAAGGCCTAATGGAATGGACGCCATTCCATATTACATCCAACTGCTACAGGGACTAGGACTAAGGGCCATGCCGCACCTGCTGGGAAGGGCCTATGCTAATGAAGGCGCCCACTGTAGACGATTTACCTGACATACAGTTCATTTCACCAGCCATGTGCCCTGATGTCACTAAAAGGCCACGCAGAGAAGCAGTGCATGCCCTCGTTATAATCACGAGTCTGCTCCAGATTCTACATTAGACAGAATTTTGTAATAACCCTCATTAGCGGGTTGCGTGACAAATTACCAATAAGCAACAATAAAACCACCCTATTTAAAGCCTTCTTAACCTCAACACTCTTGATATGTTGCACGGGGTCATTCTCTGTGGTGAGGGGCTGTCCTGTGCTGGAGCAAGCTTAGCAGCCCTGCTCTCTGCCCGCTAGACGCCGGAAGCACCCCTTTCTCCTGTTGTGACAACCAACCACGCTTCCAGATCCTGCTCAGTGTTGCCTAGGGGAACACTGATCACTCCCAGGTGAGAACCACACGTAAATACCATTTTCTAGTAACTGAGAAAAACACATTCCAACCTTTGGGTCTTTTTATACTATAGGTTATTGGTGTCCGGTAAGACTGCAGTCTTTGGAGTATAGATATTTGACCTCAGGATGGAATATGGCCAGCCGCCTGGGTGCAACTCCTGCCCTACGAAGGCTAATGCTTACATCGCCTTCGCCTCAGCTGGGCTGTGTTCTGTTTTGCATCACATGCAGCAGGCTTCCGTATCCGTCCTCATTCATTCGTTCACTCAGACAAGTTCTGCAGCGCCATGCCAACAACAATAAAGCGGAGGGACATCCACTGCATCAACAGAAACTGCCTGACTGGGCACCGACCAACCACCAACTGCCCTGAGCTGGGGATGGGGGGCAGGTCTAGATGATGCCGCACTCTGGGTGGATATCAGGGAAGCTAACCATTTACAGGGATCCCCATGATTCTCAAAGCTCTTGAGGATCTTTCAGTCTCTGAACAAAAGCCTCGTGAGCTAAGGGCCTTAGTCCCTACCATTTTTTTTAAACCTGGCTGGACTGAACAATGCCAGCTTTTAATCAGCCAATCACATGTCCTATTACCCACATACCATTTCCACCTTCCTAGGTCAATTCAGAATGGGGTAATGACCACATGTAAAGATGCTGGGAACGCTCCGTGGGCCAGGCTCTGTTCTGAGCATTCTACATGGATTAGCTCATTCAGTCCTCACCATGATCCTAAGAGTTAACTACCGTTCTCCCCATTTCACAAAGGGGAAACTGAGGCCCACAGAGGGGCAGTAACTTGCCCAAAGTTGTGTGAGCCAGCGCTAGAGTCGGGATTCATTCCCAGCAGCATGCCTCTGGGGTCCATGCCCCAAGCACAAGGAGGGCGGTGAGGCGCTCTGTGGGGCCGAGCTGGGCAGCCAGCATAAACAGCTCTGACGCTGGTGATCTGGGACGTGTGAAGAGATGGCAGCCCCAGAGACCAGAGCAGAGGATGCACTCTGCAGAGCATCCCCGGGAGCCACCAGCACCCTGTCCCTGGTGACCACATCAAGGCAGGGTTCACGGTGCACCTGAAACCCCAGGGCCCTGAGCGCCAACCCTGGGCGGTCCGCCCTGATCAGCACAATACCTGGGACATCTAAAATGGGCAGCTTTGCGGTGCCTTGACCAACAGAGCACCCCGTGCCTGCTGGCTTTCACTTTGCCCTCGCCTCTGAGAAGAGACGGGAAGGGAAGCAACCTGCAGACATGTTCTGCACCAAAGGGACGAGAACCAGCAAGGGACAGAGAACCCTAGTGGACCTACCTCAGGTACATGCCAATGGCGTAGGCGCACAGAAACGAGTAATCCAGGGCCCCGAGCAGCTGCTGGTAGTTGTCCTGGTCTACACGGGATGAAAATCAACAGGAGACGGTGAGTACTGTTTACTTTTCACTCAACACCGTTTCTGTTCTGGGGCAGGACGATAAAACACACACACAAGCCCTGTACACTTGGGCGGTGCACTCGGACGGAGAATGGGGCCGTTTCCAGCGCAGAAGGCCTGGCAGAACATCTGGCGGCTTCTTGACAAAGGCAAAGAAAGTCGCCACATTTTCAAATACTCACTAAACAAACATTTGGATTAGAGGAAATCCCCACTGCTCACTTGGCCCCAGGCCGGCCCCCGCCCCACGCCTCTGGGGGTCCCCCTGCCGTCCCCCACGGCTGATGCTCTGCAGATCCTCTTCCAGCTTCGACACAGGCGAAATGCAAGGGATCTTCCGCAGATCCCCCAGGATGAGAATCTGCCAGGTGGCAGCGGCTCTGCACGCAGGTGTCCCACACGCAGTCGCGGCGGAGGGAGGGCCAGCTGACGGGAGACCGCTGTCCCCGAGGGGCAGCCACACCCGAGACGGTGGTTCCTGCGGCTCAGACGGGCCAGGCCGGGGGTCCGGCAGCGCCCGTGCCCTCCATGCCCGCCGCCCAGCCGCGGAGGAGCCGGAACCCCGGACCCGAGCGCGCCCGTGGGGCGGGGGGACGGGCGGACAACTCACCGAACGGGGCCCAGCTGCAGTCCGTCTCGTTGTGTGCTGGCTGGCGGTGCGGGGAGCCGCTGGCTTTCTGGCCCCAGCTGCTGAGTCCGACCTGCCCCTCGTGCAGGGTAGGGCAGAACCTGTGCAGCTCGCCCTAGGACGCCCGCGGGCGTCGGAGGCCAGAGGGAGAAAGCGCACTCAGGGAGGCTCCGCGGGCTCGCGGCCCAAAGCCCGCGCGGGCAACCTCGCCACGGGGGACTGAGGCCCCACGGGGGCGGCCTGTCTGCAGGACCCACGGCGTCCCCGCGGGGACCGAGGCTCGTCGGGCCCAGCCCTGAACACACGCAGCCAACACAGGCCTACGCGGGGCCCCCAAAGCAGCCATACGGCTGGACGCGCCTGCTGCCGTCCTGGCAGCCCCTGTCCGCAGTGGAAGAAGGGACCCATCGTGTCAGACGTGTACGACCAAACACTGCCCCGCGGAACACGAGAACCAGCCGCAGGCCCACGCGACCATGAGCACAAATCCCACAACAGAGGAGGCCTGACGCGGTGCAAACGGCAGGACTCCACTTGCGACACTGGAGAACAGGCCCCGAACCCTCGGTGGCACTGGTGGGGATCTGGTTACCTGCGGGAGGGTAACCATGGGAGACAGGGCACACGGATCCTGGAGCTGGAGCTGGAGCTGGAAGGGGGCCAGACCTGAGCCTAAGTGATGATTTCCCAGGCGGGCATGTAAATATTTGCCAGGCTAGATAGTTAGGATCTGTGGATGTTACTGTGTGCAAAACATAACGTCAATAAAACAACAAGACAGCTGGGGCAGAAGGCCACCAGCCCACCAAGTTGTCCACGGCGCCAGCAGGCAGGCCAGGGGCAGAGGCGCTCAGGTGGAAGGGAAGCGTAAGGCTCAGGAGCTCTCTGGCTGACGGGTGTGGGGGCCTGAGCAAGCCGCTCCCACCCTGCCTCAGTGTGCCCGCCTGCAGACGGGGCGGCCCCTCCTCACCCACAGAACACTTCCTGGGATTGGCGATGCTGAACACCACGAGTCAGCACCGTGCTCGGGACGCGACGCCCCGTGAGGAAAGGTGGCCGTTGCAGTGGGGCTTGGAGGTGCCAGGAAGGGCTGGACGAGCAGTCACAGGGGACGTGTGCAGGGCACAGGGGATGCAGGGTGCTCCCGAGGAAGAGGGAGCCCCACTTCCAGAAAAGTGCCACACGATGGCCGGGGCCCATCTTGTTATGGGGGAACCTCCATGCATCTGCCAGTCTGCCATTCAGCCCATGTCTACCCTCCCCTCCCCAGGCGCTCCCTGCCACCTGCTGTGCGTTTTCTGGGTTTTTCACTCCAAGTGACCCAGAGGAAGCAATCCTCCAGATGGGAGGGCAGAAAGGAGGCAGCCTCAAGGTCAGGGAGGTGGCCCTTAGGGGCAGCAGGGGCCCTAAAGGGGCATACTTTACTGAGCTGCCACCTGAGAGAGGCAGGGGGTCTGGGGGGCACCAGGAAAGCTGGCCCCAGGAGGAGCATTCCCCCCCAGGTCAGGACACAGGGCAGCGGGCAAGGAGCTGCACCTTGGTGCACCGGGTCGGGGGCAGCCAGAGTCCTGCCCACAACCTTCCTTTGCTGGCACCCATTTCTTCAGAAGGGAGTCACCAAAGGGGCCGATCACCTCCAAGCGGCCGCCCTTGCCAAGGCTGAGGTCAGCCTGGGCTGGCCACCTCCTGGTTTTGCATGGACACACGCCACTGAGACCTGGCATGGCACACAGGACTCGGCCACTCTGTGGTCCTGTGGCTTTGTCATCATCGTTGGCCATTCTGCTAGAATTCAAACATTGCCTAAAAATTAGCTAAAGGCTCCGCTTTACAAACTCAGTTAAGTCTTTGCTAAATAACTTTCCTCTCGTCCTCCTTGGATTACTCAGAGCCCCCTCTCCCCCTGCCTGTGCTCTGGGCTCACCCAGCAGGATGTGGCAGGGAACTGGGAGACTGAGGCCGAGCCCCTCCTTCCCGCATGCAGCGGGCAGTCTCACATTCCCCCATTCCCCTGATTCTATACTTGGTTCCTTCCCTTGGCCTGCAGAAGTCAGCCTTTCCCTGGGCCAGACCCTGCGCCTCACTGTCCTCCCCGTTCACCTCCCACGAAGAACGCTGTAGGCAGGCTGGGGCGGGGGGGCGGGGGTTGCTGCCTGCCGAGAGGGAGGGACCCCCATGTGCAGGGCCTTACATGGAAGCAAGTGGGGAGGAGGTTACCGACCCCTGCTCCAAACGCGGTTTTCACATCCTCTCCCATCAGGTCAGATTCCCAGGGAGCAGCCGTTGTGAGAAACAGAAAAGATTGTTTCAGAAACAAGCAGAAAAGCGTTTCTGTTTTGGTTTGTCCCGCGGTGAGGGGACTCGGAGCTGGGACCCCGGTGCCAAGCTGCTGGCGGGCCGCTCCTCCCTGTGGTGACTGGCGGCCATGGGCAGGGGTCCCCCACTCACAGCCCGCCCCCTCCCCCTGGAAGCGCAATCTCCACCGCTCCGGGCCGATGAAAGCTGCACGGAAGCAAGGAAAGACTCCATACTGCTCTGGTACAGCGCCCTGGGGACGCTTGCGTCACCACACGCTGCAATATTTTCATATTTCAGCGAGTTTTACTCCCCAATCTGGTGTTTGGGGTAAAATTAAGGATTAATTAGACCAAGATGAACCGATCAGAAAAACGCTCAGCAGGTGAACGGGCGCGTACCTCATGACAGCGTGGCAGCGTTCGGGACCTGTCCTTCACTTTCACAAAAGCAGTCGCCTTTGGCAGTGTTTACAGAGTGCTCCAACAGACAACAAGCACTAATCACACGGGGCAGCAGGCCGTCATTAAAAGCTGAGCAATCGGAAGACTACGTGGCGCGTGGCGCGCCGAGTACACGATCCTCGAGGTCGTCTACCACTGTCCGTGTGGCCCACGGAGGAAGAACAGCAACAGAGTACACAGCAAAGGCCACGGGGACTGGAAGGCGGGGGCGGGGGTGGGAGAGGACTGCGTGCGGACGGGGGACACAGTGAGCAGCCACGGAGCCACAAGCAATGCGGGGCTGGGGGGAGCGGCGGGCAGGGG